GCCAATTTTTATCTTTTTTTTTTTTCCTGTCTTTTTGAGACAGGGTCTCCCTGTAGTCCCAGCTGGCCTGGAAGGTGCTGTGTAGACCTGGCTGGCCTTGAACTCACAGAGATCAGCCTGTCTCTCCTTCCCGGGTGGTGAGATTAAAGGCATGGGCCACCATGCCCAGCCAATTTTTACCATTTAAAAAAAATACTTTTAATCAAATTTTTTGTGCATTTTATACAATGCATCTCAATCATATTTAGACCCCCTCCTCTATCTGCACCCCCATAGCCCCCCACCAGATTTCATGCATTCTGTCATATAAGTTACATCAAGTTTGTGTCCCCAAATGTCCCTTGGTGTGAGTTCATCCACTGGAGTCTGTTCAGCCTATCTAGCATCACTACCTTAAAGAGACCTACTTGACCAGGTGTGGTGGTGCATGCCTTTAATCTCAGGACTCAGGAGGCAGAGGCAGGCGGATCTCTATGAGATCGAGGCCAGCCTAGTGTACATGGTGAGTTCCAGGACAGCTGGGGCTACAGGGAGACCCTGTCTCAAAAAGACAAAAAACAACTCTTCCTTACCCAGTAGTAATCAGCTGCCAACAACTAGGGTTGGGGCCTCCTGCCCATTTCTGCAGTTCTATGCTGGGTTTTTGTCCGAGTTTGTATGGGTCTTGTGCATGCTGTCACCATTGCTGTACAAGTCTTAGCATTTTTGCACCATGGTAATGCTACCCCTCCCTTCCTCGCTTACTTTTTGGTGCTGGAAATGGAGCCCAAGCCTTTGCACATACTAGGTACCATTGCCCTCTCTGTGTATGTATGTGTGTGGTGTATGCCTGTGCGTGTGGAGCCAAAAGATCTACATTTGGGCTGTTCTCTCATTCCCCTCATTACCATCTACCTGATTCATTTATGTGTTTTTTTTTTAATATTTATTTATCATGTATGAGTGTTTTGCCTGGATGTATATATGCACACCACAATGCATGCAGTGCTCAAGGAAGCAAGAAAAGAAAGGCTATTGGATCCCTTGGAACTGTAGTTTCAGACCAATGTGGGAACCAATGTGGGAACTGAACCTGGATCCTCTGCAAGAACAGCAAGTGCTCTTCACCACTGAGCCATATCTCCAGCCCTGGTTGGTTTGTTTGTTATTTTGAGACAATGTCTCACTCTTGTAGCCCTGGCTAGCCCAGAACGCAACATGTAGACCAGGCTGGCCTCAATCTCACAGAGATCTGCCTGCCTCTGCTCATGCATACAGAGGTCAGGGGACAACTTGTAGGTGTCAGTTCTCTCCTTCCACCACGTGGGTCTGGAGGATAGAACTCAGGTCATCAGGCTCTGCAGCAAGCATGCCTACCCACTGAGCTATCTTGCTGGCCCATCCACCTATTTTGCAGATGGTGTCTCAATGAATCTAGAGCTCACTAAATAGAGTGGCTGGCCATTTAGCTCCACTGATCCTCTGGTCCCCATCCTATAGCTGTATAATTACAAGTACAATTACAAGTATAATTACACCATACTTGGTTTTTTGCACAGGTCCTGGGGAGCTGAAGTTAGGTCTTCATGCTTTGGTAGCAAGCACTTTACCCACTTAACCTACCTCTCAAGCCCTAGTAATTTCTTTTCTATTGCAATGAGTTCTCTCCAAACCACATGTGGTGCCCTGCTGTCATGCAATAGGGAGATAGACCTGTCCTGGGGACAGTGCTGCCTCTGAGTGGGCAGAGCAAGGCTAGGAAATCCCAAAGATGTAGTCTGAAGCAGGCTTCCTGCCCAGGCAGGCTTATCTGAGCTCAACAACTAAACTTCATCTTGGACCCCAGGCTGTGAGGAAAGGAAATGTCCTGGACAAACTACATCCACTTCCTCCACTTTGACCTGTCCAGTTCCCCAGTTGCTTGGTCACCCTGACTTTTGATCCTCAACCCTTCACAGCTAAGAGAGAACTGAGGGGCTGGAGAGATGGTTCAGCCGTTCAGAGCACTGACTGCTCTTTCGGAGGACTTGGGTTCAATTCTCAGCACCCACATGGTGGCTATGAACTGTCCTTAACTCCAGTTCCAGGGGAATCCGAAGCCCTCTTCTGACCTCTGCGGCATTGTACAACACGGGTGCACTCACATACATGGAGGCAATATACCCATACACAAAAAAATAAAAATAATAAAATGTTTTTTTAAAAAGATGTTTTAAAAAAAGTGAAAAAAAGGAGTGAGTGAACTGAAGATTTATCTGAGCATGTTTGTTTGTTTACTTGTTTATTTATTATAGTGCTGGGGACTGAAACCAGTACATGCTCTGAAGCCCAAGCTGGCCTGGAACTCATGGTGATCCTCCTGCTTCAGCACCCCAAGTGCTGCTGAGATTACAGATTTGTGTGTGTATTTGTCTGTCTGTATGTGTGTATGCCATGTGTGTGTCCATGCCCATGGAGGCCAGGAGAGGGTGGTAGATGCCTGGGAATTAAGGGATGGTTGTGAGCCACCTGATGTGGGTACTGGTAACAGAACTTAGAGCTTCTGGAAAAGAGGCAAAGAGCTCTTAACCACTGAGCCATCTCTCCAGCCCTAGTGCTGGAATTACAGATGTGAATCATGGTCAGGCTGAAGATCAAGACATTGCTCCAAAAACTTGATAAATAGGGCCAGCACCTTCAACCCAACACAGAGCTGGTGGATCTCTGTGAGTTTCAAGCCAGCAGGGTTACATAGTGAGACCCTGTCAGAAAGAGAGAGGGACACACATAGAGACAGAGACAGAGAGAAAGGAAGGCCTTGATAGTATGTTTAATGTTCAGAACAATTCTAAGAGATGCAGATGACCAAAAGGAACAGAAAGTAAGTCTCCTGGTGTCACTCAGCAGTGTAGTGGCCAGAGCAGAGACACACCGACCAATCACGGGGCTTGTCTCTCCATCACTTGAAGGTTGGTTAGTGGGGGATGGGGAGTCAGATAAAAGAAGGAAGTTCTCACACAATGGCTTGTTTTTATTTAACAAGTTCTCATTAAGCCCGAATGGCCTTGAATTCTCGGAGATTCTCCTGCCTCAGCCTCCTTCTCAGATCTTCTGAGCCCTAGGTTTTTAAGAAGTCAGGGTCCGTCAGAGAAATGGGTATTTCAGGAAAGTTGCAGACACACTACATGTAGTGACACAGGCTGGCTGCCTGGGGGGGGGCGGGGGCGCTAGCCCTGCTTGCCTAGCGAGGACAGGCAGGGACAGCTTTGGAAAGGCAAGGGAGGCTCAGAGTCCGGACCACAGAATGTTGAGAACAGAGCATCTCAGAAGGCTGAGAACAAAGCCTCTTAGAACCAGGAACAAAAGCCCCTGAGATGATAGACTGGTGGAACTCAGCCCCAGAGCACCTGGGAAACAAAAGATCTTAGATACCCTTCTGGTCACATCACAGAATCTTTCACCCAGGGCTTTATGATTACAGAATTTTGTTTGTTTTGGACAGAATCACACTGTGTAATCCAGACTAGTCCTAGGCTGGCCTTGAACTCCTAATTTTCCTCCTGTCTCAGCCTCCCCAGTGATGGATGGGATGATAGACCCGCCTTGAGCTGGTCCTGAGGAAGAGCATAACTGTATTCAAAGATGTCCACTTCATTTGACCACTATCTGGGAAAACTTCCTGGAAGAGAAGGCAAGAGAAGGCATGATTAGGACTTTTTAATTTCTTTTTTTTTTTTTTTTTTTTTTTTGAGACAGGGTCTCCCTGTAGCCCCAGCTGGCCTGGAACTCACTATGTAGACCAGGCTGGCTTTGAACTCAGAGATCCGCCTGCCTCTGCCTCCCGAGTGCTGGGATTAAAGGCGTGTGCCACCACGCCCGGCTGTTTTTTAAATTTTATGTTTATAACTGTATAGTCTGCATAAGTGCACACATGTGGTGCAATACCCCCAGAGGTCAAGAGGGCGTCTTCTCCCCTGAAACTGAAGTTACAGATGGTTGTTACCGCCATGTGGGTTCTGGGAATCAAACCCAGGTCCTCTGCAAGAGCAAGCAGAGCTCTTAACCTCTGAGTCATCTCTCCAGCCCCAAATTAATTTTAGTGTATGAGTATTTTGCCTGCATGTATGTAGGTGCACCACATGTATGCAGTGCCTGTGAAGGTCAGAAGAGGGCGTCAGATCCCGTGGAACTAGAGTTACAGGAGACTGTTGGCCGCCCGGTGGGTACTGGGAACCGAACCCGCGCTCTTAGCTGCCCAGCATCGATCCAGCCCCCTATCTGTCCTGCGCAGCCTCAGAGGCTGCAAGTTCGGCAGGGGAGGTGGGAGCAGCTGCCAGAGCTGTCACGTGGATCGAGTCTCTATTTATAGACCATCCCTGTCTCCTCACGGCCCAATGGCAGGCAGAACTTGCCTGGAAGAGGGCGGTACTAGCTGCAGAACAGGGCCTGTTCGTACCAATGACATCGGAGCGAAGGCGTGCTTGTTTCATTGTGACGTATGGGGGCGTGGCCACAGCGCGAACGGGGCGAGCGAGGGGGTGTGGCAAGAGCCAGCAAGTAGGTTGGAGTGAGCATGCGTCGTGTGGAGCAGCGCGGGTACGAGGCCTAGCAACCCCGTCAGGGAAAGGCCGCAGCCAATAGGCGACCGTTGCTGTGGCGCCGGGGGCGTGGTCATGCAGATGAGGCGCGGGTGGGCGGCCCAATGGGCGGGCGCCTATGCAGATGAGACGGTGACAGCCCGGCCAGCCGGCGGGCGGGCGGGCAGGCGGGCTGCTGGGGCGGGGAGGTGGGACCGGCGAGAGAGAGGGGTGACCGTGGGGCCCGGCCGGGCTGGGTTGGGGGGCCGCAGCCATGATCCGGGCCTTCTCGTTCCCGGTGAGCCCGGAGCGGGGTCGGTTGCGGGGTTGGTTGGAAGGCAGCCTGGCCGGGCTCTGCGAGTTGCATTGGCTCCGGGAGAGGCAGGAGTACCGCGTGCAGCAGGCGCTGCGGCTGGCCCAGCCCGGAATGGGGGGCGCCGAGGCGGAGGACGAGGAGGACGCCGACGAGGACGAAGATGCGGCGGCGGCACGCCGGGCCGCAGCGGCCCTGGAGGAGCAGCTGGTGAGGGGTCGCCTGTCGGTGTGCATCCGTGCATCTGTCCATCCCTCCATCCATCCTTCCATCCCTCCATCCATCCTTCCCTCCTCCTCCCGGTCTGTGTGTGGGTTTGTCTAGGTTGCATGCTCAGGACACCGGTCTCCAGTAGGAAAAGCAGGCAGGGGGAGAGGATGAGACATAAGATTGCAGACCTGGCCTACCCCACCCCCAAGTCGGGTGGATGGGAGGCTGCACAGCATCCCCTGGACCCTCCACACGGATCGAGTTAACCCTTCTGGGCACCTAGGATATGTCAAAGAGAACACTTGGCTTCTTAGGATCTTCCCTTTTCATAGTAGGGTTGAGAGGCCCCATTTTACGGAGAAAGAAACTGAGGCCTCAGAGATAGAAAGTGATTCACCCAAGGTCACACAGTCGGCATGCAAACATAATCCCCCCTGGGCCCCACTCCCTGGGCTCCATCTTAAGTCCCCGGGGTGCTTGGAGATCCCTGGAGGGGGTGCGGTGAGGGAGGGGAATCTTTGGGCCTCTTGAGGGAGGGGCCCACTGCTAAGAAACTCACAGCCCTGAGGGCCCCCAGGGGCATCTTGACCCCTTCGTGACACCTATCTTTCCTCCTCGGTCCCATGCCTGTAACACAAGGGCAAGAAGGTGAAGGCAGCTTAGGTGGAGGGGTGTCTGGACTCTCCTGGGTGACCTCCAAATTGAAGGGCCCCAGCCCGTTCTCTCTTCCTAGATCCCTCCTTGAGTCTGGAGACCCCTTCCTGGGTGTCCCTCCCATTAGTGGGTACCGCAACATCTCTGACTTTCTGTCCCTGTCTCTCTGGTCTTCCTTTGCAAGGTTGGACCCTGCTTAGCTTCCAATACCAGAGGATATCAGAGATCCGCCGAGGTTTGGCTCTAGGCCCTCTGTGCTTTTCTACACCAAGTCTGTCTCCATCTCTCGTCCCCTCCCCCCAGCCCACTCCCCTGGCAGATCTGGTCCCCAAGCCTCTGTGAGTGAGTGAGTGAGAGTGAGTGAGTGAGTGAGTGAGTGAGTGAGTGAGTGAGTGAGTGGTCAGAGCTTCCCGTTTGGGGAAATCTGAGCCGAGCTTGGGGATGGGAAGGGGGCTCTGGCTGTTGCTGACCTCTGCTGCCCCCTCCCCAGATGGGAAGTACGGAAAGGGGCTGAGGCTAGACGCCCAGCCCCACCCCCACTGGCCTGGCCAAGCTGGGAGTGAGACCTTACACATTCTTCTGCAAGCAGAAACAGCTGTGGGAGGCCCCGCCCCCTCCCAAAGTTACAGACACGGGGTTGGCGGGGGGGAAGGGGGTGTTCAGCAGCTCCCCCTGCCCAAGCTGCCTGGGCTTCACCAGACCCCCATCATAGTGGGAGGGAGATCCGAGTGGCCTGGGCCCCTCTCCCTCCTCCATTTGCCCCTCACTTTCTACATCTCTGTCTCCCTTTCCTGCTTTTAATCCTCAGGGTTTGCCAGAGGTGGTGACCGGGAAGAAGTCTCTCCCCCCACCTTCCACCCCTTCCTCACTGTTGAAGGCAAGACTGGAGCCCAGGTCAAAGAGAAGGTGGCAGAGGAGGCTGGTGGAGGGGGCTGGGGCAGAGAAGCATTAACTATTATAAATGCTTTAGTGTTAGGGATTTCTGGGTCCTTCTGAAAAGTGAGTGGGGCCACTTCTGATCCCTGAGCCTCTTGTCTTAAGAGACAACCTATGTCCCCATCCCCCACTCAGAAATACACTCTTTTTGAAACAAAGGGAAAAAAAAAAAAGAAGTTAGACTACTGACTTTCTGCTAGGAATGACAGGCAGATAAAGAATTAGGGGTGGCTGGGCATGGTGGCTCACGCCTTTAATCCCAGCACTCGGGATGCAGAGGCAGGTGGATCTTTGTGAGTTCCAGGCCAGCCTGGTCTACATAGTGAGTTCCAGGACAGCTAGGGCTACAAGGAGACCCTGTCTCAAAACGACAAAAAAAAAAGAATTAGGGGTGTTGCAGAAGACAGGGGTGGCTACTGAGGGAGGTGTCCTGTTTGCTCCCAGGAAGGAAAACTGGTCCCTTCCAGAAAGGAAGACTTGAGTTAGATTTGCAGAAGGACTTCCTTACACAGATGAAAGGACACTAGTTACTAACCAGGGAAAAATTTTAATTATATTTTTAATTATGTATTTGTAATTATTCCTTGTGAGATACCGAGGCCTTTTCTTGTAACGATGTAAGTTAACATTTATTAAGCACTTAAAAAACAACTGCTGCCATGCGTGGTGGCGCATGCCTTTGATCCCAGCATTTGGGAGGCAGAGGCAGGTGGATCTCTGTGAGTTCCAGACCCACCTGGTCTGCATCATAGTGAGTTTCAGGCCAGCTGGGGCTACAGGGAGACCCTGTCTCAAAAAGACCAAAAAAAAAAAAAAAAAAAAAAAAAAAAAAGAAGAATTAAAAAAAAAAAAAGAAAAAACTGCTCATAACTCTTTTAAATCCTTCCAAGGATTCTACAAAAGACCTGATTGTACAATGCCCACCTTACAGATAAAAACAAAAAAACAAAAAAACCCTGAGGCCCAGAGAGGTCCAGACACCCACTCAAGGTCACAGCTGGGAAGTAGAAGAGCTGAATTTGAATGTTGGCCTTTGGGTACCAAGTCACACCTCCTTAACATTTCATTGGACCACACAGTCCTCATTGCTCCTTTGACTCCTTGAGATGAGGTCATCACTGTCTGACCTTGGCTAGAGCCCATTCTTTTTCCAATGCATCTACTCACAGAGACAATTTACATACCAGAAAAGCAATCGAGAGCTTCAGTTAAGGCTTTGCTTTTTATATACCAATGTAAGGGACAAAACTAAAGTTGTGGTGCAAGCTAGGTAGGTGCTCTACCACTGAGCCATGCCTTCAGTCCCCCAGTGGAAGATTCTAGACAAGTGCTCTACCACTGAGCCACACCCCAGCCCCTCACTGGGATATTCTAGGCAGGTGCTCTACCACTGAGCCACATCCCAGCCCCTCAGTGGGGGATTCTAGGCAGGTGCTCTACCACTGAGCCACATCCCGGCCCCTCACTGGGGGATTCTAGGCAGGTACTCTACCACTGAGCCACACCCCCAGCCTTCTTTGTGAGATCAAATCTCTATGATTCCCAGACAGGCTTTAAAGTTTTCATCTTCCTTTCTCTGCCTCCCAAGTAACTTAAGTTTAGAAGCCCTGATCCAGTTCAAAACTTTTGCTTTAAAAAAAAAATATATATATATATGTATATATACATATATATTATATATGTGCCTCCCAAAACTTAAGTTTAGAAGCCCTGATCCAGTTCAAAACTTTTGCTTTAAAAAAAAAATATATATATATATGTATATATACATATATATCCTAGTGTTTAGGAAATTATGGTTGAAATGGGGGCAAGAGTGACTCAA